GGTGGTGAAATTGAAATTGAGCATAATAATCACTCTTCCATCACTCAGATTAACAACAACTCTGGAGGATCTCAAGTGGTACTGGGTCAATCTCAAACTTTCTCTGTTTCTTTTTTTAAAATCTTCAAAAATTCAAAATCTTAATTAGTGTTCTTCCTTCTTTCAGGGAACGTCGATTGAATGTCCCCAAAGCCAAGAAGAACTGGAGAATCCACCACAGCTTAGTGGCTTTCTTGATGTATTTGAGGAACCTCAACTCGCAGATACAATGCGCACGGCTATCAGCAATCTATCGACTGATGAATGGAACAGTTTGCTTAATGATGATGAGTATCAGCAGAGGAATGTTATGTTTATGCAAGAGGATCGCAACGATCACAGACCAAAAAAGCCACTGACCGGTGTTTTGGTTGCTTATAGCAGTGATAGTGATGATTATGATTCTGTATCTGCAACAACAGTAAGCACAATTTTACCTTTTCATAATCCTCTGTTTCAGATTTCACCTCACAAAGCTAAAGTTTTTGTTTTTATACCACAGGGTTCAATTCAAACTTCGAGCACCTGTGATAGTTTTGGTAGCTCAAATCATCATCGTGTAGACCACATCACTAACCTGCAAGAATCTCCTAACTCGACAATCAAGTTATCTCAAAAGGTGAGTCAGTCTCTGAGACAAACAATACTCAAATTGCTAACGAAAAACTAATGAAATTTTGGGATCTTTTCTAGGTGAACCAAACTCCGAGTCAAGCGACTGAGATCTTGAGCCAAGAGAAATCCAAGAACAAAAGAGCTGGTTTCTTTTACAGGATGATACAAAGGTTTATCAAGAAGATTCAGCTATGTACTTCTGCCTAATAAATGAGATCAAGAACACTTTTTTATTGTATTTTCCAAATTTGTACAATTACTAAGTTATGTCAATCTTGTTGTGTGACTTTTCCATATTATTGTGTATCTATGTCCTAATGTGTATATAAAAAAAAGGGGAATTTGTGATAAGAAGTGGATAGAGAAGACAAATTTGTATCATCTTAATTTAAATATACAACAAAACAAAGAGGTCAAATTCTATAGGACGTAACTAGTAATCAACCTCTATATTCTTTTGGTCCTACCTGACACCCACAAAAGATTTCCTATTCAACAAATCGAAACAAAATTTAGTATCAAATCAAAATACTTTAGTTTTAGTAATGTCAAAAAAGTCTCTTTTAGTCTACATCATATGTATACAGTACCACGTGCATGTTGTCATGTTGATGTTAAGTCCCCCATGAGACTAATGCTAACTTTAAATTTTCGTCCTCCTTTTAGATATTTCTTTACTATGTCATTTGTAAAGAAATGCTTGACCAAGAATTCTCTTAGTAAATACTTTAGCAACCTAACTTAATCAAGATCATTTAGCATGACTGCTTTAAAATACTTATCTTAATACCCAAAACCAGAAGACTTTTTAGCCAAAGAAATACCCAAAAACCTATCTTAGTCGATTTCAAACCTTTTCATTTTTTATTTTAAATTACGATTTCAAACTTTACCATTTAAAAAGACACTTCTAGATTACATTAAGAAAAATAAATTTTATAAATTAAGTATACACAAGTCAATATCTAATTGGGTTCTGAACGAATATCACGTCACTTATTTGCTTCCAAATAGTTTAGTTGTACTGGGCCAGACCCGTTAAATTGTTTGTTTAGGATTTTTGAGTCAGACCTAATCCTGGAACTGTTTAGTTAGGCCCTATAAATAGCAAAAAACCCAAAAAAAATTAGCTAATGAAAATTTTCAAAAAAAAAAAAAAATAGTTTAGTTATATTGAATTATCTCCGTGTGGTTAAATTGAATAATACTGGTTTTGAAGAATAGAGAATTAGGAAAAAAGATTGTAATGAGTAGACATGCCTCAAAATTCATTAACCTGTACTACATTTTTTGGTTAACAGTTCAATTTCGGAAATGGTAAGCACATTCTCTTAATTACATTTCATTCTGTTTATTTGTTAATCCTCTGTTTCAACCTTCAACTTACAAGACTTGACTCTTTTTTGTTGTACATGCAAAACAACAGTGTTCCTTAGAAACTTCAAGCAGAGCATGGAAAGAGTCAACAAAGAAGGAAAAGGCCGGTTTTTTATACAACATGCTACTTTAATTTCTTACTGGTTTTGAAAACGTTATAACTTTAATTTGGACAGACAAGGACTTTGCTTCTGGTAAATTTTCTAGTGTAATTGAGCTCAATCACTCTTCAATCTCTCTTATTAAGCAAAATGGAGCTTCGAGTACAACTAGATCTGATGTAAGATAAACTTTAATGAGCTTATTCTCGTTTGTTCTTCAATTCGATTCGAAATTCACATATATTTAGGATTGTGTTTCGATGAACAAGAAAGAGAAATTGTTTGGTTTTCTAAACCCCCTTATTTCTTTTCAGGTTCACCAAGGCAATCTAAATTTATCCGAGTGTGAACCAACCAGGATGATCGATCAACTAAATCCAGGGGAATTACATTTTATATGCAAACTCACCCAATTAGTTTATATGACACATATGTTACGTAGTGGATAAGGGTTCAATGTGGGTGTATGATATAGTTGCAAATTGGAATTTTGTTACTCTTTTGAATATAAAAACTTGCAACCTACCACTCCTATTAATTTTTTAAATATTTATTTATGGGAGATCGTGAAATATGGTACACAAATATGACAAGACAATAATATTACAATATTAATACAGATTACAGAGACAAGAGAGAAGATCCAAGAATCCAAATAGCCTTTTTGGTTTTTTGGATTTCTCGAAAGCAGTTGAAACCAAGTCTTTAGTTGAAAAGTAAAAGCGGCGCGTGTAAGTCTGTACTGACACGTGGCCCAATAACTTCACATATTTAGATTTGGTTGTTGTTGGAGACATTATAGGGCCCCACCACTGCCTCGCTGTTCCAATATTCCTCTAATTCCAAATGCTGCGGAGCAGAGAATCAAAAAATATTTAAATAAAATACTTTTTTGTTTGTTTGTCACAATATAATATATATATTTTTTTTGAAAAAGGAATATACTTTTAATTAATAACAATAAAATAGCATAGGAAATATATTTTTGTAAAAGTTGGCAAATAAAATGTTTTCCTTACACAACAAAGGAAATATGTTCTACGTCTAAGTTGTAAGCATCATTAATGGTGATTTTTTTAAAAATATCTTAGAGTAAAAATAATTAAAAAAGTATTTAATTTCATGAACTTTATATTAAAAAGTTCTATAGATAAAACTTAATGAATGGAATCTTGAGGGTGTCAAGTATTTTTAATATTAAAAAATTATTTAAAATTTTTTAATGGTGTTAAAGTTAATGATGCTCTTACATTCGAGCTTTCCAAGGTGTTTTGTTCGTAGACGTGGCTATATTCTCCGAGAAGGAGACTGCCGGATTCAACTTGTTCCCATGACTTTGAAAAGAAAGAAAAAATTTACTTGTAGGAATTTCACAAGTGTTATAATAGGAATCTATATGTGGATAAATTATAGTTTAGAAAATCATATAGATACATTTAGAATCCAAAAGTCCACTTATTATAAAGCATGCATGTAAAAAATAGATTAAAAAGCAAAGTACGATATTTTCAACAAAAAAAAGAAAGCAAAGTAGGAATATTCTAAGAACACAATAGATTCGTGTTTTTTTTTGTAAAACAATAGATTCGTGTTCTCACTTTACAAGTGGTCACAGCTTGATTATCTCAATAAAAAGGAACGGTATAGTTTCAATGTA